TGCATGTCTTCCAACCCCACTTCTTTCTCCCTTTCATTTACCTGCTTTCAATGGTTAGATTAGGGCACGCATACCTTATGCTTGCATGTTTCCATCATTAATTTGTCTTGCATGCACTGAGCCGCGGCACATCATTCAAATTGCATTGCAAATTTCAATATACCTACTTAAATACATGTTTCAAAGCATGCTATCAAATTATTGCATTCATATGCCATCTTAGATAGCCGAGCCTATTTAGTCGCATTATTGCATGTGTTGCATTAGGCATCTAGCATAGTTAGGATCATGCATATTTCTAACTAGCTTTTGTTTTGGCTCGGAGTACACTGTAAGTTTTATGCCTTAGCATACTTGCATGAGTGTGAGTGTTGCCATGATAGCATGCTTGCCATGAGGCTATTTTCTTAAGCGATTAACTGCACGACTGCCTGTGGATGAAAGCTTTATTATTTGAATTGAAACAATTCGATGATTGCGAGTTTTAAGCCCACTTTGCGAAGTGGCAAAACATCATGATTTAAGCCCACTTGAGAGTGGCAGATCTGCGCTTTAGCCCACTTGAGAGTGGCATTTTCAAACCATTTTCACAAAAAAACATGAGTTGATTTGTTCTAATTCTTGCGATTTAGTCTATACTTGTATGTGTACGTCACGTCACGTAGTAAAGTTAGCTAATAATCAGAATAAGAACACATGTGTTTATAAAACATCATATCATGCTTAGTAGAGGCCGATCCTTTGATCGGGCGAGCGGGGGTGCTCATGTCATGACCTTTCCCTCTCGTACCCAAGTTCCTGAGCCGAGGCAACTTTGGTGATGACAGATACGTGGCCTTTGGCACAAGTAAGGGTTTCCTAAATTTCTCAAAAATAAAATATTTAGGTGGCGACTCTGAAATCTGGAAAAGTAGTTCAGTTTTGGCATTATTTGATTCAAAATCGATTTTCCAAAATGATTTGCCTGATTGGACTCTTTAGTGTTTATCAGTCTCACATTGCACTTTGTGAGATTAGATTCAGAACCGTGACAGGAGTCAGAACTGTAGGGCCAATTCGAGCTCTTCGAAAGGGGGCACAAAGAAATTCGAGTCTACAACGACCCATTTTTGACAAGGGCGAAGACTTAGACAAAACAGCTAATCAAAACTAGGAACGGTTGCGCCCGTAGGCTGCCTACGTATCCCTTTGCAAGGAATCAAACCAGCATAGTTCTGGGGCAAGATGCAAATGATATGCACAACGCAACAGCATAACTTATGATAATGTAATGAGGCTATAACAAAACATCTAGATGCAAATGTTATGCAAAGAAATGCTATAGCAAACTCATACATAGGCAAGTAAACATGAACCAAACCACATTTCATGCAGAAAGAATGTAAGAAAATTATGCAGGCATAACTATGCATCACGTAGGAAAGGTAAAGAACAACACAACCCTCAGGCGCACCTGAGGCATAAAAAAAGATCCCAACGCGTGGCACAGGCGAGGAGTGAGATGGTATAAACCTAGGGACACACCCTAAGGTTCCGAGCCACAGAGAACAGTGATAACAAGTGAAACACATCCAAACATTATGTAGACAAAACAAATAGCAGTATAAGCATTGGAATCCATCTGGATGCTCTTAACCAAAGCATCCTAACGCGTCACACGCGAGAGGGAAAAGAGAGCAGCGCAAACACTAGAGGGTGGTATAAACATCGGAGCACATCCCAATGTTTCTAACCAAAACAAGGTGGTATAGGCATCGAAACACGTTCCAAACGCTTCTAATCGGGGGGTGGTATAAACATCAGGCACACGTCCCAATGTTTCTAACCAAAAGGGTGGTACATGCATCAAAACACATTCCAAACGCTTCTAACCAGGGGTGGTATAAACATCAGGCACACATCCCAATGTTTCTAACCAAAGAGGTGGTATAAGCGTCAGAATACATTCCAAACGCTTCTAACTGGGGGGTGGTATAAACATCAAGCACATGTCCCAATGTTTCTAACCAAAAGGGTGGTATAAGCGTCGGAACACGTTCCAAACACTTCTAACCGGGGGCTGGTATAAACATCATGCACATGTCCTAATGTTCCTAACCAAAAGGATGGTATGAGCATCGGAACACATTCCAAACGCTTCTAACCAGGGGGTGGTATAAATATCAGGCACACGTCCCAATGTTTCTGACCAAAAAGGTGGTATATGCGTCGGAACACGTTCCAAACTCTTCTAACCGGGCGGTGGTATAAACATCAGGCACACGTCCTAATGTTTTCAACCAACAGGGTCTGGCGTAAACACCAAACGTACCCGAGTGTTTCTAACCAAAACAAAGAGTTCAAAGGACAGGAATGATCTTACCTGGAGTTCCTCTGAATGAACCATACATACAATATTGTCTAGTTACACCAGCTTTGAATGAACTGTACATACAATATCGTGCCTGCATAAGAAAGAAACTTGACAGGTCCAATACAATAAAAATGCATGTTCTATGCAAGACGAATAACCATGACACAATGCTAGTGGCATGTTTCATGCACAATATGCAACGAGCAAAACAGAAGCATATTCTATGCAATGAAAAATGGAGCAGGTTCTATACAACACCAAAAGGCATGTTCAATGCAACAGGTACGAACATTTTTTATGCAAATGTAAGGGCATGTACAATGCAATACAACGCGACATGCATATTCTATGCAAACATGAGAGTATGTGTAATGCAACACAACATACATACTCTATGCACAATAATAATGGCACATATTCAATGCAACATCAATAGCATGTTCGATGGAAAACACCGAATAAGGCAACGCACGTTCTATGTAACGATAAAAAAAGAAAGTGCCTTAATAGAACCGACTCAGTTGCAACCTTTGATTTACCTCTTGGAGGAGTTATAGTATATTTCAAAAGGATACACCTTGTTCATACCGGCTGACGATGAGTCATGCATTGAAGACACGATTAGAAACTCTCGCAGAGACACTTTGAGCTGAAAAGTGAAATTTTCTTGCACTTTCTTGAGAGCCAAGGCACAAAACAGCATAAAAACACATAGGGAGCACACTGGAAGACTGTCGGCCACTTTTAGGCAGTGTTGGCCACTTGAGGTGGCCGTCGGCCACAAAAAGTGGCCGGTCGGCCAGTTGTGGCAAATCCGGGCCATTTTGGTCTTTTTGCATGGAGATCTTTAAATACACCTTTCCAAGTCACATTTCCTCACACCTACAGTGCCGAAAATACTTCCTCTTCCTCCCTAGACATTTTTTTCCCTTAGATCCGTGCTTTATACGCATTTTCCAACGCCCCACGCAAAGTTCATTTGCTAAAACCCCTTGATTTCCTCCGTTTTAAACCGATTAAAATTTGTTTTCAGAGCTTTTTTCTCTATTTTTGCCACTTGAGGTTTGTTTCCCTCAAGTTTGTCTTGAGTTAGATGCCTTTCTCAGGCTTTGACTTTTTCTCCCATTTTCTCTCTCTGAGAGTTGACTTTTGTTGACTTTTGGCATTTTCCACCTACTTTGCTCATTTTCGCCAACTTTCTCACCTTCTTTCCCGATGGCAGACGACATTCCTCACGATGGAGGTTCTCCAGGGATAGAGGGAGATCTCGAGTACATACCATTACCGCCTAGAGTCTGACCTTTAGACCCGGAGAGATACTGTCCCAAGGCGCATGCACTACCGCCCAGTATAGTCTGTCATTTCAGTGGATTTGCATGAGGCGCACCAGCAGATCTCTTGTTGTGAGAGTCAGAGTCTCACTTATCTCATGGCGGCTCCAAGGTATGCACTGTATTCTTACATTTTCCGCGATGTACTATACATTTCTGGCACAGCTCGCACCTTTGCACTGTATTTCATCTACTCATTCTAAACACATGTACACATTGTATTTCTTCTGCTCATTCTGAACACATTCACACACTGTATTTCTTATGCTCGTTTTGAACACATTCCCACACTATTTTTCTTCTGTTCATTCTGAACACAAGTAGACTCTCATTTTTCTCAAGGATATGGGTCCACATCGGCGAGGGAGTGGTACATGGACCTCCCCGATGGTGTCCGCCAAATCGTTGATGAGGCGGGGTTTGGTTTATTATGCATGGGGCTGTCGCACCTCATGGCGAGTAGGACCTTCCTGGGCACGCTGATAGAGAGATGGTGGGATACCACCAACTCTTTCAATTTCTCTACCGTCGGGGATATGACGATGACCCCGTATGATTTTGCCATGCTGACGGGCATCGAGGTAGGAGGCCGGCCGATCCCATATGATACTGACACGGGCGAGTGAGAGGCCACCCGAATCTATTTGCTGGGGGCGCACCCACCTATCTTCCGATTAGGGATGGTCCGGTACACCTGGTTTGCAGAGGGACGGCACCAGCGACCCAAGAGGAGACCAAGGAATATGCTCAAGGTTTCTTGATGTTCCTCTTTGGCACTACCTTATTCGCCGACAGGGTGAACACAGTCAGGCTATATCTTCTAAGTGCTTTAGTGAACTTATCCTAGGTCCGACATTACGACTGGGGCGGTGGTGACCTCGCTACCCTGTACTGCTATATGAGCTCAACATTCCGCAGGAGTGGGAACAGAGTTGGTGGCTATTAGAGAGCCTGGGAGGTATGCTTTATTTTTCTGCTTTACGTTCTCTGCCATGCTTTCTGCTTTGCACTTTCTATACGCTGCACGCACCGCACATTGCACACACGTAATCTAATTTCTGCTATGCATTTGTAGTTTCTATACATTGTACTACATACCTTGCTTTCTGCATTTTTTCTTTATTTTGTATTCTCTATATTCTGCATTTTCTGGACATTGCACATATACTCTGCTTTCTGTATTATCTATGTTTATCTGTTGTATACTCATTGTTGCCCTCTTGCTTTTACACAGCTGTGGGTGTATGCCTATTTTTCGACGCCTGCCCCAGAGCCAGAGGTCGAGATGCCGCTTGGGGTGCCATATTCTCACCGGTATGACAGGAGATGTCAGCCCAGGACCTGAGAGAGCCTTTCATTTTTTTCGCCAGTATTACGATACAGTGAGGGCAGTAGAGGTAACTCAAAACTCATAGTTCTTTCTGTTTTCAACTCTAATTCATATTGCATATCTAATGACAACTGACAACCTATGCATTTGCTGTCTGCAGATCACTTGGCAACGTTGGGTGACGATGCCAGAGGGTGTCAAATATCAGTTCGTCGGCGCCTGGGGCGCTTCTCACTATCGGCTCATGCTTGAGGGACCAGTAGGCCGAGCTTGGTTCCTAGGTGAGTGCTTCCTATGCCAGACACTAGGTGTGCCATTACAGTCGGCTCCCATATCACCTCCTCTATCCATGCAAGACACAAAGAGTCTATTTCCTTAGGAGATCATTGACTTCACAAGAGGTGGAGATGTAGACTTTTTCCTTAAGGAGGGGGACTATACGACTTATATCCAGGTGCACCTCATGCCTCCTTTGACAGATATTCATGCTTATATAGGGAGGGCAGTTGATGCCCCTTCGACGAGTAGGGCCCGAGCACCGAGGGGCAGGATTAGAGGGATGCCTCCCGCTAAGCAGAGTTTTGGATGGTCAGATCTTCCGACCGTGCTGACAGGTTGGCGGTACTCTGGAGAGCCATATCAGATCCTGATTGAGCCTCCGTTGCCCGGTCACCGATATGTCAGGACACCTGATTCACCACCGGTGTGTACTACAGCTTTCATTTTCCATTCTCGCTCAGATACTCAGACATTCATTCAGACAATGATCATTCTAACTTGCATTTGCAGCCGTCCACAAGGTACGTTGAGGGGTTACTCGAGATGTTGGCCTCATTCGAGGGCATGATCGGAGTGGATACTCGGCTCCCACGGCATTCAGGTAATTTTTTAGTTTTCTTGCATTTCGGTTACCATATTTCTGCTAATATACTGAAACTGACATCTCAACTGAATGACATATACGATACTTGCATCTGATACGATACTTGTGGCTGACATATTCAAACTGCCCTTTCAGGTCACACCTCTTCCGACAGGGCTGATGGCGACAAAAGCAGGACCATCTGCGCCCCTTCCAGCAATAGAGAGAGAAAGACAGGCTCCAACACGTGGCAGAGGGAGACGTCGAGAGCCTATCATGCATGATGACAATGAGACCAGTGAGATCGAAGAGGCTGGCGATCAGCACGATGAGTCATCCGAGAGCAGAGACGATGATACTGACTCAGATTCCACTAGTGGAGATGATGTTGAGCCAAACTCTAATGCAGAGGATGACGACGACTCCAGTTCTAGTTCTGCATTGGGTTCAGATGGTGGTGCGGATAGGGATAGTTCTGCATAGTCCGCCCCGCCGAGGAAGAAGACGAAGAGGGCCTCTAGAGCTTGAGCTAGCCAGTGCTGATTTATGTGTTTTTGCTTTGTTTCTTTTCGTTAGTAGTGTTAGCACATTGTACAACTTTAGGCAGTTTTATTTTCTTAAAAGCTTCTAATCTTTGTAAAAAGAGACCATGATTGGAATGAAAACAGTGTTTTGATGAAAACGTGTCGCATTTTATATTCTGAGCATTGCATTGCACCATTTTACACAAAAACGGGATTGATGGAAATTGAATATTGTACATTGTCCTGACAATTGCTTAGTCAGGTAATGAACTGACCAACACATAACAAACAGAGTAAAACAACTCAAAGAATAACTAATGCAACAACTCGATAAACAACAACAACTGGATAAATGAAACAAATACAACTCGATAAGTAACAACAAAACAACTTGATAAACAAATTAAAACAACACGATAAACTAATTGAAACAAACTTGAGAGCGACTCAACAAAACTACTAAAACAAAACAGCAGAAGGCATCGAGAGTAGAACAAAAACATAGGTTCTAGCATCCCCAACGCATAGGAAGGCTAAAGACATTTTTCTGGAGACAAACAGAGGCTGTCGGCCACTTAGTGGTGATTGTCGGCCACTAAAGTGGCCGGTTGGCCACAAAAGGGGGCCGGTCGGCTACCTTAACTGGGCGGTCGGCCAGTAATGCAGGGAATCTCCAGATTGCTGCCACCTGTCTTCCACTCAGTGCCTTAAAATGGAGGCATTCTTCGCCAAAAAGCACTCAACTTGGATTGCAATTTTAGATGGCTCGAAAAAAGTGAATTTCTAGGGTTTTGAGATAAATGCACTATTCCCGTTAAGTCGTACCCCACTATGTTTCCCGCTCCTTTATGCCACGGCTAGATGTTGGACCCCGATTACGCATGTGTTTAACTTCGGGGGGCAAGAGATGTGCCCTACAATCGAAGAATTCCAAGTTTTGATGGAATCCCGGCATAACGAGGAAATCCTACCCAGTCCTGTTTCAGCCACATCCAGGTTTTAGGAAGGATGTGTGGGCTCACTTTACACTATGCTCGATCTTTGGTTCGCAACAGAGAGTTGGATATTCCTCGTTTCATTCATCAATTTTCTGACATCGGCGACCATGGTGACTGTCTTTGGCAAAGTTTTTGGCAGCATGCCCTCTACTTGTGCATGTTGGCCCATTTCCTGCTTGCCCCTGACTTCGGAGGGTCTAGCATTCACTTGATCGAAGTTGTCCAAGGCTTGAAAGAGGGCAAGCATTGCATTGGCCTGACACTAGCAGAGACTTTGATGGGCTTGGATGCTTTCCATCGCGGGGAGACAACCAAGTTCGCAGGAAGTCCACTACTTTTATAGGTATGTTTCCTACCCCACTCACATGTGTTTCTCACGTCACTCGGTCTTCAAGCTCAGTTTTTCTTTCTAAAATCCTTTCACTGTTTTCCTCCATATACATCTCTCTTTTCTTTAATCTCTCTTATTTTTCATCCCTCCCCAGATATGGCTCATGGACAGGCTGAAGGCAGTGGATTCTTGCCCTGCAGACTTAGTACGAGGCTATTTCTTTCGCCAATAGCTAGTTGATTTCCTTAACGAGGGGTGGTGGTGCCATTGGATGTGCAACAGGCTGCTGCTGACATCGCTTGGCGTTGCCCCTGGTTTGACCTGCCCAAGATGAGCTACATCATATCTCGACAGCCTGGCATTCAGTTGATTGGCTTGACACACTGTTTCTTCTATTTTCTATTCCAGTTCAGGCGTTAGTTCAGACACGACCAGACTTGCTGAGAATAGGGAATAAAGTACCCATCTCTATTTTCGATCCAAGGTTCACAACTAGCTCGATATCCCATTGCGTAGAGAACAGGAGAACTTCTGGCTCCTGCTCCCAATTTCAGTTGCGCCCTTTCTGGTGAATGCATAGCTTGGCTTGAAGATGAGGCGCAAACCGGGCCTACTTTAGCATCCGAAGCTTCCACAGGCACTGGGAGGGGACACAAGAACACCTGACCCATCTGTGCCCCAAGTTTATTCCTTTGATTTGTACTTTAATTTTTCTTTTTGAACGTAATAAAAAGAAACTTTGATTTATATCAAGAGGTAGAGAATTCTATATTGAAATCAATCAAATTGAAGGTTGTGGGCACTGAAAATTTTTCGTTTGGTCCAAAAATGATCTATGTTGTAAAAAGATTAATTTGAACAAAATCAACTTTTATTAAAACTTTTCAAAGCCATTTTCGATAAGGATCACAGCCTGACACACTCGAAATTTATCCCTGAGATGTACAACCCCAAATCCACCAAACGGAAAGTTGCCCCTTGTCTGAATAGCACTGCATTGCACTGTAACCATCTCTCAGAGTGAAGATCATAACCAAACTCTTGGATGCAGAAAAAACAAAGATGACTTAAACAATCTCATGGACACAACTGATTTGGAAGTGTTTATGGCTGGACTTCAGAATGAAGTTCCCTACGTATCCCGAAGATGGGAATCAAGCCTTACGTAGTTTGGTTCGGGTTCACTCGGGTATTAACACTCTCCTTTTGCGCCCTAACTTTTGCTAAGGCCGCCCTTTTTGGGTTTTCAACCTTACGAGCTCAGTTTTTCTTTTTTCAAATTTTTTGTGCTCTAATTTTGCCTAGGTCACCCTTTCAGGTTTTTGGCCTAGTGAGCTTCTCAAGGGTAATATTTCTTCGACTTGTCCATGTTGATTGGTTGGGAGAATTCAAGGCCATCTAGGTCCATAAGAATGACAGCTCCACCCGACCAAATAGATTTGATGATGTAAGGACCAGTCCAATTAGATCTGAACTTGCCCCTAGGGTCATGGATAAGAGCTCGGTTATCTTTGAGAACTAGATCCCCTTCTTTCAGATTCCTGGACTCAACTTTCTTGTTGAAAGCGCTGGCAACCCTGCGTTGATAACTTTGGACGTGGTATAGTGCTTTCAGCCTCCTCTCATCGAACAACATTAATTCCCCAAACCTGCTCTGCTACCAATCCGTTTCTGCTATATGGCACTCAGCCATAACCTGCAGCGACGAAACTTCAACTTCAATCGGCAGAACAGCTTCCCTCCCATAAACCAGAATACAGAGTTGCCCTAGTAGAAGTTCGAATTGATGTCAGGTAGCCTTAAAGAACAAATGGTAGTTTGTCTGGTCAGTCCCCGTAGGTTTTCACCATCTTTTGTAGAATGTGTTTGATATTTTTAATCGCGGCCTCAACAGCTCCAGTGGTTTGTGGCCGATATGTGGATGACTTATGAAAAGCCACGTTGTATTTCTCCAATAAGCCGATCACTTCTTTCTTAAAGTGGGAACCATTGTCCGAGATGATCTCATTTGGGACCCCATAACGACAGATGATGTTATTCCTGATGAACTTGGCTACATGTGACACTTTCAGCACTGCGTAGGATTGGGCCTCGACCCACTTTGTAAAGTAGTCTATTGCCACCAGGATATACTCACGCCCGTTTGACCCCTTCGGAGTAACTTCCCTAATAACATAAATTCCCCAGACTGAAAATGGCCATGGTGAAGTCATGTTGTACAGCTTCAACGACGGGATATTCATGCAATTTACATGAATTTGGCATTTGTGGCATCACCGAACAAAACCGATACAATCCTCCTCCATGGTTGACCAGGAGCAGCCCTGCCTGAGAATCTTTCGAGCTAGTATCACTCTGCTCATGTGCAATCCGCACTCTCCTCTGTGGATGGCCTCCATTAGGCGCTTTGACTCTTCTACATCGATACATAGTTTACGCATTCCCAGATGGCCTCGTTTGTACAATTTATCCCCGCAAATGATAAACCGAACATCCATTCGCCTTATTGCTCTCTTATCTTTGACATTTGCCCCGAGTGGATAAGACTCATTTTACGCGAAGTTCCAAATATCATAATACCAGTGGTTTTGTTCTTGTACTTCTTCTATCGTGGCAATAAGCTCGTAGGCCAATACATACCTCTGTTCAATAATGATCAGACGCCTCCGGACTCCCAAAGCGATGTCTATCATGGAAGATAGAGTTAATAAAAGTGTCAGCGAACCTTTTGTTCTCTCTTAACAGATGCGTGAAGGTTAACTTCTCAAACTTGGGAATCAAAACATCCAGGGTTTGGTGATAGATTTTTTTCCTTAACCTTCCAGTCTCCTTTTGCTTGAGACGCGACCAGGTTCGAGTCCCCAATCACATCCAACCATTTTGCCCCTAGTTCCAAGGCGGCTTCCAAGCTAGTGATACATGCCTCGTACTCTATATCATTGTTTGATACCTTGAACCGGAGTTTGAAAGCTAAAGGTATGTGGGAATTGTGGGGTGCTATCAGCAACACCCCTATCCCATAATCGTACTAGTTAGACGCTCCGTCAAAGTACATAGTCCAAATTTCTTCTTCAACTTGCAGAATACCCTCATCCGGGAATAGATACTCTATTGCTTCATCTCCCTCCACTAGGTGATCGGCTAGGAACTCCGCTACCGCTCTCCCTTTCACAAACTTGCGAGTCATATACTTCAAATCAAATTCGGAGAGAAGAAGCAACTAACGGGCTAGCCTACCCGTAAGTGCTGGTTTGTCAAAGAGATATTTGATGGGATCCAATCTCAAAACTAGAATTTCAGAGTGAGCTAATAGGTACTGCCTCAACTTCTTGGTAGCCCATACCAAGGCTAAGCAAGCCTTTTTGAGCGGAGTGTAACGAGTCTCATATTCGAGCATCTTCTTGCTCAGGTAATAGATGGCCTTCTCTACTCTATCCTCAGATTCCTATGCAAGCATGCAACCCATTGTCAGGTCGGTTACTGACAGATACAAAATCAACGACTTCCCCAGCTTTGGCGATGACAACACGGGTGGATTCTGTAGATACGGTTTGATTTGCTCAAAAGCAACTTGGCATCGGTCATCCTATTGGAATTTCTTTCCTTTCTTCAAGAGACCAAATAGTGGTT